CAATTCTCCTGCCTCAGACTGCAGAGTAGCTGGGATTATAGGCACCTACCACCACGCCCAGCTAATTTTAGAATTTTTAGTAGAAACGGGGTTTCACCATGTTGGCCAGGCTGGTCTTGAACTCCTGACCTCAAATGATCCACATGCCTTGGCCTCCCAAAATGCTGAGCTTACAGGCATGAGCCAACATGCCCAGCCAGGGTTCCCTGTATTTTCTTCCCTCTGCCAGCTCTTGTCAACGCTGACAAGAGCTTGGGTGGTCAGGTGGAAAAGGAGAGAAGACTTCCTCCTTCTCTGTACCCCTATCCCTACCATAATAGTATATTAATCACCAAGGGGGACTGTTCCTTGTGTTGCTATAAAAAAAATACCTGACAGTGGGCAATTTGTAAAGAAAAGAGGTTTAATGGGCTCACCGTTCTGCAGGCTATACACTTATACACCCCAGCATCTGCTCAGCTTCTGGGGAAGTCTCAGGTAGCTTTTACTCATGGAGGAAGGCAAAGGGTGAGCCAGCACATCACAGGACAAAAGCAGGAGCAAGAAAGAGAAGGGCAGGGAGGTGTCATGTACTTTTAAACAATTGGGTCTCACTAGAACTTACTATCATGAAGACAACACCAAGCCGTGAGGGCTCTACCCCCATGACCTAAACAGCTCCCACCAGGCCCCGCCTTCAACACTGGGGGTTAAATTTCATCATGTGATCTTGAGGACAACTATACAACTATATTAGGAACACAAAACTGGTCAATCACTAGATATTCACCATACCCTAAGGACCACATCGCAGGGGAACAAAAGAAATTCCTGGAAGAGTCAATGGCTTTGGTACACTTATAGCCTGGACAGTTAACAACAAAATATCAGATTAATGTATCTCAGGAACAACTAGGATCCATTCACCCCCAAGAAGCAAAGGCAGACACTCAAAGAAGCTCGGAGCTTGCTGAGGGCTCAGTGTTGGGCACTCATATTAGTCCATTCTCACACTGCTGTAAAGACACTGCCTAAGACTGGTTAATTTATAAAGAGGCTAAATTGACTCACAGTTCTATGTAGCTCGGAGGTGTCAGGAAACTTACAATCAGGGCAGAAGGCGAAGGAGAAGCAAGGACTTTCTTCACATGGCTTCTTCTGTCTAGAAGAACATGTGAAGGAGGAACTGTCAAACATTTATAAAACCTTCAGATCTCATGAGAACTGACTCACTATCATGAGCACAGAAAGGGGGAACTGCCCCCATGATCCAGGCATCTCCCACCAGGTACCCCCCTCGACATGTGGGGATGACAGGGATTACCATTCAAGATGAGATCTGGGTGAGGACACAGCCAAACCATATCAGCACAGGAAGGAAACGGTGGGTGGAGGAAGGGATGGGATGGGGCTCAGGGCTCCAAGCGCCAAGTAGCACAGGCCCTATCACCAAGTCTTACTACCAGCCCCTGCCTGTGAAGTGGGAGGAGGTTTGCGGCTTCAAGTATTATAGAATCCAAGCCTGGCTGACAGTCTGACTCCAAGCTTGACTCATCCAAACCCTTTCATTCTTTCCAAACGACTTTCATGGGCCTTTCCCTGCTCAGAAAATTTTATGAGTCTCTAATTTTCAAAAGTAAAACAAACATGACCTCCCCAGCTAATGCAATGCTCAAGGCTGTCCTGGCCTTCCACGATGGAGCCTCCCTAGCCCTTTTCCCACTCCTGCCCTTGGTAAGCCATCTTGGACAGTGAGTCACAAGCCTCCAAACCCACCAACTCATTTCCCTCTAGTCCTTCCTCCTTCTTCAAGTCCATGTCTGGGTCCTCCTCCTTCTTGAAGCCTTACCATCCACGTGGTCTCTGTGAATCTACATTCCCTGAGCTCTGTTTAGGAAGGAAGTGTTGCAGCCTAGTTTTGACCCATGGATTATAAGGGCATGAGGGCAAGGACCGTTTCTGTTTTGTTCACCAAGGTATAATATCCGTCATTGAAGAGAGTAGCTGGCATGTAGGAGATGCTCAATAAACATTTGCTGAGTTACCGAATCCCATTTTTTTATTTGTCTTGTTTCATGTATGCAATTTGGTGGTCTCAAGTGGACTTTAAGCTTTTCAAAGCCTAACCTTGGTTCTATAACTTGTAAAGTTCTTGTCCATGGATGAAGGTAGTCATCAGAACCCACGATAGTAGTCATTACGTAGGATTAAGTGAGATTGAGCATATCCGCCATGCTTTTCCGGAAAGCAATTTGACAGTACAAACCAAGAGCCTTCAAATTGTCCACACCCCTTGATCTGGAAACAGTATGTCTATGAATCCACTCTAAGGAAATGAACTGAGATGTCAATATTAATTAAACAAGAGTGGCTACAATTTACTAAGCACTTACATGTGCCAAACATTCTGCCACTGGCCACTTTACATATTTTCTTTCATCTCATCCTCTGAGTTACCCCACCAGGCAAGGATTATGATTCCCATTTTACAAATTAGAAAACTGAGACTCAGAAAAATTGGCGAAACTTTACTAAGGTCACATTCTTGGTAAATAACAGAGTCAGGATTCGATCTGGGCATATAAGACTCTAAAGCCCATTCAATGCATCCTTACTATAATAGTGGCTAACTATGAAGAACCTAACTGCCAAACAAGAGGAAAATGAATTAATGATAATATATCCACAACATGGAATGTTATAAGCCATCAAAAATGGTAGTTTTGGCTGGGTGTGGTGTCTCATGCCTGTAATCCTAGTATTTTGGGAGGCTGAGTCAGGAGGATCACTCGAGTCCTGGAGTTCAAGATCAGCCTGGGCAATATAGCAAGACCCTGTCTTTAAAATTAGCTGGGGGTGGTGGCACCCCACCTAGGCTGGAGTGCGGTGGCACGATCATGGCTCACTGTAGCCTCAATCTCCTGGGCTCAGATGATCCTCCGGCCTCAGACTCCTGAGTATCCGGGACACTTCTGGTCTCCAGAACTCTGAGAGAACAAATTTCTCTTGCTTTAAGTTACCCAGTCTGTGGTTATCTGTTACAGAGCCTCAGTTAATAAGCCCAGATTTCTAGCCACATTTGCCTGTAGGTGACTTAGTCTCATCATTGCTATCCAGACCCACAGTAGTGCAACCCCGACCTACCTACAGCTCAAGTAGATAAGCATTCTGCAGAACCTGCCTCAGAAATGCTGTCCTTTCTTCCCAGGCTATGTCCCTTGAGTTCTCCATCCAGCAAAGGAGATAAATAGGCATTTACCCATTTGTCTGATACAAAAATCTGTACTTAATACCACCATTGGGATTTGGTTCAGTCAACACTGACTGAGTACCAAGCACTGGGCTGGGCATTGGGAGCACCATGAAGATGTACTTCCACTGTGTAGCGCTTTTGAGTTTGCAAGTCACATCCATGTGCATTTGTCTATTGGATCTTCAAAATACCATATTAGGTAAGACAAAAAAAAAATCTTAAACCTATTTTGCAGGTGGGCAAACTGAAGCTCCAGAGAGTGTCAGTGCTTTGTTCAAAGTCATGCAGCAGGGCCAGAGCTTAATCCAAATTTCTTACATATTCTTTCCATGGTCCTAATCTCCCTCTAAGCTCAGTGCTTTTGAAGTCCAGGGAGAGGAAGTTATGATCTCACAGCAGGGGAATAGGTAGGCTCTTAAAAGAAGTAGGAAATGAGCAGAGTTTTGTAAAATGAATTGCAATAGACAAATTGACAAAGTGGATTAAATCTGACCCACCTCCTGTTTTGTATAAAAAAGTTTTATTAGAACACAGCCTTGCTCACTCATTTACATGTTGTCATACTACAACTGCAGAGTCGAGTAGTTGTGATAGAAACTGTGACCTGCAAAGTCTAAAATATTTACTGTTTGACCCTTTACAGTAAAACCTACAAATCCCTGCAATAGCTGGTGCCATATGTGGGGCAGAAGTTTGGGAGGGATGGTGGGAGGGGTGAATGCCTACAAGATAAGGAAATTCACAGCTCCAGGTTAAAAGTAACATTCAATTCCTTGGAGTGACTATTTTTCTAGTCTTAATATCAGCAAACACTTACATGGTGGTCATTGTGTGCCAGGAAGCATTTTAACTGCTTTACATATAAGAGTGCTTAATTATTAATTCTTTTCATCCCCCTTTTAGAGGTGAGGAAGTAGGCACACAGAGAGATCAAGAAGTATGCCAGAGCTAGCAAGGGGCAGAGCCAAGGTTCAACGCTGGGCAATGCACACCAGAGACTGTGTGCAAAGCCCCCCCCCCCCATTTACAGCTCACATCCTTTGGAACCCTAGGTATTCATCAGTTCATTCGACAAGAATGTATGGAGTTCTGAAGCAATAAAGACCCAGTGCTAGATTCTGCAAAAAGAACCAGCCGTTTCTTTCCACGTAAGTATTTCCTTACCATTTTCCTGACAGCCCCACACACCCTGATGTGTGACGCCTGCTGCTCACCTGGGAGCAGAAACATTGTTCTCAGGAGGGCGATTCTGTTTTGGTGCACTGGCCTTGGGAGGTCAGGGAAGCTATGACAGAGCAAAGGCTTTTCCGGAACATAGCCGAAGTGCTAAAGCCATGATGCAATGATCTAAGGCATAGTCAGCGTTGAGTAAGGCAAGGAGGGAGGCTGCTGGGCACTGCCATGACGTCGAGAGATGGTGAGGACATCTCGCTTCTACTGAGGCTGTGGCTCTCTGCTGAAAGCCACAGAGTGATTAACTAGAGGATGAGAACACTGGTGTACCCTTCCCCCCAAACCTCACCCCCAAGAGCACCAATCGGTTGTATTCAGCTGCCTAAATATCCTATCATAGTTTATTTCCTATCTTCCTGCAAAGGTGATTGGTGAAAGAAAATTAAGTATGTGGCATCTTGTCAGGAGACAAAAAATTTTATACTGATTATGTCACCTGAGGTTGGGAGACGGCAGGAGGCTGTGCCGCTGGAGTGGGTTTCAGAGGAAGCAAGGGGCAGGCTGGAGCAGCACCCACCTGCTGGGATGAACTCACCTGGCCCTGCCCCCCATTCCTTCCTCCCCCGCCCCCAGCCCCGCACCACAATCTGTGGTCAGATTTCGTTCCCAGTTGCTAGGGGGATGAGGCAAGGGCGGGGGGAGACACTATTAAGGGAAATTTGGCTACAGTTGGTAACAGTGCTCTCCTTCCACAGCCCCTGCTCCCTAAGCTGCAAGTCTGGGAGGAAAGAAACAGGTTGTACCTCAGGGCTCGTGTGTCACATAAATCCTTCCCCTCCCCACCCCAGCAAGCCAACACTGAGAAAAAAAGAGGAATAAGAAGGAAGACTTGATCAGGGCTCCCTGGGTCTTGGTAGGGAGGTAGTCACACACACGTGACAGATGTTGATCTGTCATGGAGTTATGGGTATCAAGCAGAAAAAAAAAGAATACACTCCACCCTAAACTAAATGGAATGAACAGGAAAATACCGGGTATGAATGGCAGGCTGTCCCCTCAAGACAGCTGCATTATCTGGAGGCGAGTTCAGTGGGCAGGAGAGGGCGCTGTTTCGGAGCTTCTGACTCATTCCTGGTGAGTGTAGCTCTCAGGGGGCGCCCGTGTCAGCCATCTGCTTGTGACCTTGGCTGACAGACCCTGGCATGACCGCTCGTGAGCCAGCCAACTGGGAATTTGAGGGAACCTCACAGCTCAAAGAGACGGGCTTTTGAGAAAAGGAGGGAGCATCCAGAACCTACTTTAAATATGTGCAAAGTCCTGCTTGGAGGTCTGTACCTGCTGGGCTGATGACTCTGCTCTGAGGAGCTGGACCCATTCAACGCACTACCCACCTGCTTACCTTCCATTTGTGCCTACAAGCTAAAGGCTTAAGCAAGCTCCCGGCTGGGCTCCGGCCTGGACAGGATTTCAGGAATAAGCGGGCCAGCGGGCATTTATTCCTATGCCCTGGTCCAAACCTCCAGATGCCACCATTTGTTAAAATCAGCAAGGGATGGGGGACAGCCTCCACATGCCAGGCCAAAGGCACCAAGGACTCAGGCTCTGCTCACACCGAGCTTAATGTCTCATAAAAGCACAGGGGCCTGAAACAAACAAATACAAAGCTGTAAGTGATTCTATATGCCATGAAAAAGAAGCCAGGTGCTGACGGGGGTGGTACCAGGAGATCTAAGTCTGTTGGGGCTCAGAGGAAGTACCCAGATAGCTGTGTAGCTTTGGGGTCGGGGGGAGGGGTATGCTGAGGCTGGGGGAAGCAGAAGCTGTGCAGACAGAAGAAACCACACCTGCAAAGCGCACAGCTTGGGGCACAAAGAGGACCCTAACCCAAGTGGGCAGGAAGGGAGAGAGTGATGAGAGGACAGAGCCTCAGCCAGGGCCCAGTCAGATCTGACTCTTCATGGGTTTTCCCCAGGGCTCAGGTCTCCAGCTACCAAACAGAGCAGCCCAAGGTCTTTCCCAGGAGCTTTGCATGTTATTTGCTTACAACTTCTCTTGCTTTCTCTCTCTCTCCTATATATTTCTCATTGCATTCATACTCACATGCTGCGGGAGTCTTCTTTTCCTGTCTCTGTATTTAAAAACCATCATTCCTGCCCTCCCTGAGCTGCACTAAGCAAAAATATGTGTGTGGGAAACAGACCAAAAGACATAAGAAGGACCCTCTGAGGCGCCCTAAGTTGGGGTCTCCTTCCCCTGGAGACCCTATTCTTTGTCCAGTGCTGAAGGCAAAACTGTTACAATGGAGAAAGGGAGGCAGTCGGGCTGGATCGAGTCCAGCTGAGGGACCTCACACAAGTTGCTCACCCCTTTGGGATTTGTTGCCTTATCTGTGAAATGAGTGGACCGCCCAGGTAATGGGTTCCCTACCTGGGATCTGCAGACAGGCTTTAGGGAATCTAAGAATCATGGCTCGGCATGGTGGCTCTCGCCTGTAATCCCAGCACTTGGGGAGGCCGAGGCGGGAGGATCACCTGAGGTCAGGAGTTCAAGACCAGCCTGACCAACATGGAGAAACCCCGTCTCTACTAAAAATACAAAATTAGCCAGGCATGCTGGTGCATGTCAATAATCCCAACTACTCGGAAGGCTGAGGCAGGAGAATCACTTGAACTCTGTCTTCAGGTAAGTTGAGATCGCGCCATTGCACTCCAGCCTGAACAACAAGAGTAAAACTCCGTCTCAAAAAAAAATCCCTAAAACTGTGTGTAAAATTTGATGGACTTGAGTAGGCATTTTTCTGGGGAGGGTTCCATAACTCTCATTCAATTCTCAAAGGCAACCAAGACCCCAAAAAATTAGGAACGCCTGCCCTGGGCGATGTCCACCAGCCTGCAGCTTTCAGAACGGTCAACTCAGAAGATTCATCTGAGGTGCTCTGATCGTAAAGCTGAAGAGACACAAGCTTCCGTCGCCCAAGAGAGCAGGGAGAGGCTGGGACTGTTCTAGGCAGGGAAGAGAAGGCAGGTTACAAACAGGAAGTGTTGCTGTGTGAGCATTTCTGGTAAACTGCCCACGGAGATTGCTGAAGAAAGGGGCCGATCTACAGGGTGTCAGCAATTTGCTGTGATTCCCCTCCCTCTCCTCCGAAGGAAAATACCCACTTTGGTACTTAATTTTGCTTTCATATTTTTTATATTCTTTGTATTAAGGAGTGCCCCAAATTGCAAGTCTTTGGGCCCCACACGGCATAGATATGCTCCTGGGTCCTGGATATAACCAAAGCTAAGACGGCCTGATGGGCACATGCAGGGTCCCGGCCCGAGGCCATCGGGTGCCCGGCACACCCTGCATAGGTGCACAAGCGTGGCTCTGACTGGGTGGCTCTCCTTGTCGCCGTCCTGGTTTCTGCTTCCTATCCTTTCCGTTTCTCCTTCCCTTCCCTTTTCTCTTTTCCTTTAGTGCGGATTTCAGGAGTGGGACGGAAGTGACCTGAGTGAGTGGCCCAGCTTCACGGGACGGTGGCCCAGTATTTTTGACGTGGGAGTGGCGTCTGCTCTGACTCAACCTGGACCAGCCCAGGGACAACACCTCCTTCAGAGTGGCCGCTTTGTTTCATTTCGAGCTGCCAGCTGCGTTCTGCATGACCGCATTGGACACCTCTCACTTCCTCTGAGAACGGAACTTGGTGTTTAGATGACGTGCAAGGCAAGTCGGTTGTGTAAAATAGCACAACTCCACCTTTGGTCTCCCACCCCAACCCCCAAGCCCTAAAAAAAGAAAAGAAACAGAAAAAAAAAAAAAAAAAAAAAAAAAACAACACCTGAGAGGAACTGGGCTTCAAACAAGTAAAGACTTTTACAGGCGATGCAAGGGGCCTCCCTCTGGACTGGAGAGGAGCCCAGGGGACTCCCGAGACCTGAAGGAATGTCGGATCAATGCCGTCCTAGCTGTGTGACCTGGGCCAATTTACTTAACACCTCTCAGCCCCTGGTTTTACATCCTCATGGGAACAAAGACATAAGTGGAGTAGCACCTGGCGGGCACTGAGGAACAGTTCTCCTCCTCCCAGCGGCCCTGCTGTAGGGTGGAGCTACTGAGGCACCTTCCCAGCGCCGGAAATGCCTCATGGGGACACCTTCCCCCAGCCCAAAGGAAGGACTGGGCCAACGATCTAATCCCCAGCCCATGCGGGAGTGGTCAGGCCCGTCAAAGTGGAGGAAAGCCCAGGCTCCAGGTGAGCCCCCGGAGGCTCAGCCCCAAAACCTGACCAGAAATACAGGGGACAGATGTTTTGGTCTCTGAGTCCATTTCCTTCCTGCTCATAGGCTCAGCTGTGACACGTCGATGAACAAATCCTCCAGGAATGATGCTCCTTTGAAGTTCTTGGCTTAGTAAAAACAAGCAAAAATGAAAATATCTGTAAATCACGTGAGGTGGTGTCGGTTTGTATCATCTGACTCAACAGCAGTGTTTCTTCTGGGCCACACTCACACGCGCGAAGGCGTGGGGCTGTCCTCCCACAGGCTGGTTTGCCTGAAGAAGCTGAAGATAAACAGATAGCCTGGAGAAGAACTAGAAGTCAGAAGCCCGCATTTCCGGGCTGTGTACATTTCAGCAAGTCACTGATGCTCTCTGGGCCTCAGTTTCCTGTTTGGGTGAGGGGATTTTTAACCTCACCTGGGAGAGGTGGCTTGAGGGTTAAGTGAACACCATCTGTCCTAGAGCCTAGCAGGTCACAGGCGCTCACCATGTGACCATCGCCTCCCTTTTTTCTTTTTCCTCAGCCTCTTCTCTCTGAGAATAATGTAGCCCATCCCCTGGGTCCCGCCAGCCAGCCAGAGCCACATCCTGACGCCTCCCTCTCCCTCACCGTCACACTTGGCACCATGGAGGCCTGAGCCTTTTCTCGCCTGAGTGCCTTGCTGCCCAGGTCAACCCTAACCATTGCTGGTCTCTGCTGTGGACTGACAACCACCTCCTGTCCAAATTGGTTCTCCTGCCTCTACCCTTGTCCTTTCCCAGCCATGCTCCCTGGGCCACTGCCACCTTTCTAAGCATGTGCTGGCCTTCACGGACCTCTGGGATCAGCCCCTGGGCCTCTCTACAGCCCCCTCTCTCCCAGCCTCACTCTCGGGCTCTGATGACTGCAAACCGTGCCCTGTTGCCCTCATGTGTCAGCCTCTGTCTCTCTATTCCCCAACTCACTGTCAACAACTCAGATGTCAAGGCTCAGTTTAAGCACCACTTCCTTTTGCTAACCATCACAGTGACCCCTCAGCCCTGACACTCCTAGTTTCAGTCCCTTCTGGTCACCTGACTCTGTGTCTGTGACACCTGGAGCACTTAGTGCTGAGAGCTAATACAGAGATGGAACAGGCTGCAGACCAGCCCTGTTCCAAATGGCTCTTCCCATGTTAACTCATTTAATCCTCACAAAATTGCCTTAAGAAGTGGATGCAATTATCTAGATTTTTACAGGAAGCTGAGGCACAGAGAGGTTAAGTGACTTGCCAGTGACAGCTACTAGGTGGCCAGACGCTTAAACTTTAGGGTGGTTCTGTGTTCCTAGGCATCATGTGATTCCACTGATTCATGGACTGTTTTCTCTACATGCCTGACCCTCTCCCTTACGCCATTAGCTTGCCTAGAGCCCTGCCCATCTGGAGACCTGCAGTCCTAGAGTGAGGTCAGGTCCACAACACGGGGCACTAAGAGTCCCTCAGCTGAAGGATCTAGCGTCTACCTGTCTGCCCATCATAACAGGGAGGCTCCAAGAGTCTGCATTCTACCAGGAGAGATGCCAAGCAGAAAGGTCAACTGAGCCCCCACCCCCACCCCAGGTGACTCCCTCAAAAGGCGGAGAAGGAGGGGAGCAGCTTTGCAAACAGAGGAGGGGAAGCCTGTCCCAGGGTTTTTCTGGTAAAAGAACCAGAGTTCTGTCTTCATGGGCTTCATGCAACACCTTAGTGGATGGGGGTTCCCATCAGCCTCCGTGCTCTGCTGCCCTCTCCAGCGCTTCGTCTGCCACAGATGGCCAGGAGTGCAGTCGATGTTTCTTATTACATTCTGTGTTACCATCAGGTTAAGTCTGCCTTGTAAGCCTGAGATCTGAAAGCCTGGAACACGTTC